GTAGAGAGATAGGGGGGTGGAGGAGGTAGTAGTAGAGATAGAGTTTGTGTTTAGAGGGTGTAAAGTGGGAGGGAGGTGGAAGTGGTATTACTACTACCTCCCCCCCTTTATCTCTCTATCTCTACAATCCTCCAACCACCCACTCTATCTCCACTACTACTACTACACCCTCCACCCCTATCTCTCTACATCCTCCAACCACCCACTCTATCTTTACTACTACTACTACACCCTCCACCCCTATCTCTACTATTACTACTACCCCCCCCCCCCTTATCTCTCTACACCCTCCAACCACCCACTCTGTCTCTACTACTACTACAACCTCCAACCACCCACTCTATCTCTACTACTACTAGACCCACTGCCGTAGTAGTAGAGATAGTGGGCGGTTGGAGGGTGTAGTAGTAGTAGGGGTAGAGCAGGAGGTTAGAATGGGTGGCTGGAGAGAAGAGTGGTGAAGGATGGAGGGAATGTGTTCTTAGTTTGACCTTACTTCATTGATTCATTCTCCTTTATGTTATCTACTCGTACTCTTTTCTTTCCTTCCTACTTGTATATTTCTATAATTCTTGTTTGATTATGATTTTATATCCTATATCCTTCTTTAGGACCGTTCGCTAATGATGTCATTTGTGAACAGTCCTTTTCTTGATTCTGCTCTTTATTTAACTTTATTTCTTCCCTTTTTCTTTCCACCTATATTGTAGATTCTACTCTGTTTTTTTCTTTTTTTTTCATGTTTGGTACTCTATAATTTCTTATTTCTAAAATGTTTTGATTCTATGCTATATTTTTATTTGATTTTTCCCTACAATAAAGTGATGTGGGAATCTATGTCCGAAGAAAAGAGGCTTTCCTGTGTTCAGTTCTTTCCTTTTTTTTTTTTCTAAGACCTAATTTTAGTTTTCTGATCATGGTAATATTTGTACAACTGTAGAGAGAGGGAGTGTGAATAGAAAGAGAGAGAGAGGATATGGTCAGAGAGAGAGAGGATATGGTCAGAGAGAGAGAGAGGATATGGACAGAGAGAAAGAGGATATGGTCAGAGAGAGAGAGAGGATATGGACAGAGAGAAAGAGGTGGAGGGAGTGAAAGGATCACTTTTGTACAATTGTAAAGTAAAGTGCATTGAGTCCTCTCCTTGTGGAAATGTGCTACATATACAGTCAAACCTCATTATTATACCACCTACCTTAGGACCAGCTTTAAGTTGGAGGTACAGCAGGGCTGATTGGACAATGGAATCCCACCGATTGCCTTCTTGACAAGTGGTAGAGACAAGAGATAAACTGTGGCCAGTCTTGCCTCTTCTAAATTATATGTCTTGCAAGATTGCTATGCGCAGAGAAAAAAGAAGTACAAAAAAGAACTAATTACATACACAGCTCCAGCTGGCAGAGAGATTATCAAGCAGCCACTGTGTGGGTGCTGTGTGACGTGTGTACCGTAGCTCTGGCGGCCAATTCGCTAGTGGTACAGCTGGGAAAATTTACATTACTTTAATTAATAAGGACCGTAGAACTAAGACAGTAGGTGGATGGCAGTTTAAAGGCGCAAATACTATTGTTATATAGAAGGCGTCCCTTTTCTTACATAGGCAAAACTTCGCGGTAAGCAGGGCTGGCGGTACAATGAGGTTTGACTGTAAATGTCAGATCCACACAAATGAAAATCATCTTTATTTTACACACACACACACACACACACACACACGAACAATCATCTTTTTTACACACACACACTCACATTGCACTCAGTGCTCTAGTCTTACATTGTGACTGTATGTGTGTGTACTACTTTGGAGTTGCTGCTGGAAGAGAAAAAAAAATCTCAGAATCCCCATCAGTCTATTTTTTATGCCTTCGTAGGCACAATTCAGATCATTTTGGAGGCGGGCGTCAACTTTGCCTGTCAGGACCAAGCTGAGCAGAGAGGGATACAACAACATATCAACAGAAAGAAAGACCTAGATACTCAATGAAAATCGAGAACAGAAAATCAAACTTGTGTCTGCTTAGTGCGATGATAAAGTGGCGTACCACTACCCCAGACGTCGGTCTCACAGCGAAGTGAGAAACTTTGGGTAGCTATCACAGTTCAGATCAGTTAAGAGGGAAACAACATCCCAACAGAAAGAAAGACTGAGATACTCTATGAAAATCGAGAACCGAAAAATCAAACTTGGGTCTACTTTGTGCGATGATAAAGTCTCACGCCTGTGAGACAGAGCCTACAGGGACAGATCGGAAAGCAACATTCCAGCAGACTGATGGAGACAGGGCCCACTTTTTCTCCCATTTACCTCGGGGATTGAACTCGTGTCACCAGCAAGCATCATTGAAGAGCTCTGTAGGGTCAACTACTAGATATACTGTACATACAGAATGCTACACCGTCCCAACAACCGGAATGAAAAGTTTCAAAAAAGATTTTAAAGGGTCAGGTGAAAAACAGGAGATGTTCATTTTAAGAAAAAATTCGGGGTACTTTCCTTTGTTTACAATAAGCGTACAGTACCTTTAGAATATCCCGTTGATTTCAGGTGTAAAACCAAATAAAGCATTCACAAATCGTATTTTTATAAAGCAAATATAAAGTTGGAAATGAGCCATGTCCATCATCAAAAGGACAAAAATGACCTAGCCTGTTTTATCACTTGACCCCTTCATTTGTGCGACTACATGGAGGAATCAGGCGCTCGTCAATGTTTTGGCATACAGAGTTATTGTTATCATCTACCTAGAATAGAAGTCGAGATATTGGCGATTGAAGAAAGTGGAGGTCACCTGATGTCAGAGGTAAAATTAGAGAAAAAATGCCCACCAAAGGTTGGTGACTTGAGTGTCCTTGGAAATTAGAAGTTTACATTTTTTTTGTGCCTTTGATCAACAGAAATGTGTTTTTAAATGGACATAAAAGGTGCTGAAAATTTGATGAAATTGCCAAACAGGTAGAAAAATGTTGATTTCATTATTTTGATGAGCACCTGATTTCCCCACCATGTCACATAATTTATTGAATTTTGCAGCATAGCAGAAGTGAGGGCCAGTCTGGTCACCAAGCATCAACCTCCTGCCAAAACTCAGGCGTCATCGCAACATCAGAGAACTTGGACAACCAGAACTCTTCAGGGAAATCTGGCGAAGAAGTTGTAACCTCACTGTTGGAAATAACTTTCACCCTACGCAAGTTCTTAACGATCCTGTCAAGGTCATGTATCTCGTCCCCAGTGTTTGCGGTCACGGACTGTCTGTCTTCAGCATAGTCTGCTGCTCTCCTCATCTCCACAGTCTGAGAGACAGAAGGTTTGTTCTCCAAGTTTTGCTCCAAGTTCCCCTTTCTCACCACAATAATAGTCTTTGGTCTGCACGAGGTCGCAGAGGCTTGTGGGTTTTTCGAGGCAAAGATTTGTGAGTTTCCAAGACTTGCCTGTGACCACCCATTCAGGATAGAGATGTCTTTTTCCGAACACGTGAAACTTCCTTTTCCTGCTGGCAGAACAGCACGAGCCTCAACCTTCAGTGTGTGTGAGTCAGGAGCAACTGCTGTCCTGTCCTTGAGCAGAGAGACTTTTGTGGCTGTAGGTTCTGAGACGAGAGAAACTTTAAGGGCCACTGTCTCAGTCTGTGTGGGTACGTAGAGTCCTTGATGTGTTGAGGGTGTTGTTGAAGCAGCCAGGGGTAAACTTAAACTAGTGGCATTAGCTGTGCGGGTGGTGGTCTTAGAAAAAGTAGCAGGAACTGTTTGGGTGGTGGTCTTAGAAAAAGTAGCAGGGACTGTTTGGGTGGTGTTGTAAGAACGAGTAGAGGCTGCTGTGGCTGGGGTGACAATAGACTGCAATACAACTGACCTCGTCAAATTTCCGTCTACCTGAGTGGGAGTCTGTCTTGTAACATTACTCACAGAAGTCACAGCTGCTTTTTGTGACGGGAATGGTTCACTTTGTAAACCAGAACTGTCAACAATTCCTCCACCTGCTTGTTCCAGAAGTGAACGCTGAGAGGTGAAGTGACGGACCTGAGGTACCACCAAACGTGCAGGGTCAAAGAAATCACACGGAAGGCTGCTTTGACTGAATCGTTCTCTTTCTGAATTACTTCCTCCCACCGACAAACTTTTGTTCACCGTCATAGTTGTTGAAGTGTCCTCTATCTGCTGCCGCTGGTACGATAAAGGTAACATCCTATTCTCCGCACGAGTGGGCGGTCTCTCAGACAAAGAACCATCCACAGAAGACACAGCACTGACACTCTTGCCCATGCCTGATTCTCCCTCGTCTGCGACAGTTCTCCTCCGCTTCCACGCACGGTCACCCATGTCCTCAGGTAACTCTTGCAGGCAGACTGGAGAGAAGAAACAAGAGCAAGAAGAAGATGTCAGTCACAAAAATTTACATCAGTTAGGAAGTTCCAGTTCTGGATTTGTTCGTCTAAAGTGCCCACCAGCCACCCACTAAATCATGTTACAAAAAAACAAAGGAGTAAAACGCCTTTTCGCATCTAGTGTACGTCTCACTTGAAAGTGATTAGGACACTTTTGCATTCCAAGAAGCAGAGTCACTTAAACCAAAGACTTTTATTTCCAGAATAGGAAAAAAATTACCGGTTATTTGAAAGAAAACACAATCTCCTTTTTTTTAAAATGTAGATGTTTACAGGGCTCGCAACTGCATAAGGTCATATGAGCACCAGAAGATTAGAGGTGTTACAAGAGAGTAACAAACATAAAAAAGAAGGGGGAGATAAGGACGATAGATGTTTGATAGGAAGAAGAAGCAAACCACATCAGAGCGCCCGCCAACCACCCACACAGAATCTCCAATTTAAAATGTTTTATTTTGTTTGAGTGACTGATGAGCAGACTAAACAAGCTGACAATGTTGAAGAGAAAGCAATAATTGTAGTTACATTTAAAAAAGAACAATAAACAAACAATAAAATACAAAACTTGTAGAGTGTGCAACAGTATGGAAAAGAATACTAAAGTCTATTATAAATACATTATATTTCTTGGGATTTTAGTAATCATAATGAATTGCTTCCCTTTGCTGGCAACTCTATTTGAGCAATCCCTGTAATCTGAAAATACGACAAAACTGAAGGAAATCTGGATCTTCCTATCATTTTGGTTCAAGTGATCTCCATTCTATTTATATCCACTCTTGTGACTGTCTATGAAAAAATCCACAGCTTTGTTGGTGGGTACTCTGGTACAGTTTGCTTCTGACAAACAAATAAACAAAAAATGGTGGGTAAAAGTCAGTGTGACAAATACATCTTCTTCAAGTGGCAGGTCTGGAACAGACATCAGCAATCATGGCTCTCCACTCATTTCTCAGCTCAGATACTCGAAAACTAAAAGAAAAAAAACCCCAATATTATCCTGGTCTTTTCCAGTCACTCATCTGTTCGAGGTTTCTACGTAATTAAGTCACTCATCTGTTCAAGGTTCATACATAATTAAGTCACTCATCTGTTCAAGGTTTCTACGTAATTAAGTCACTCATCTGTTCAAGGTTCATACATAATTAAGTCACTCATCTGTTCAAGGTTTCTACGTAATTAAGTCACTCATCTGTTCAAGGTTTCTACGTAATTAAGTCACTCATCTGTTCAAGGTTTCTACGTAATTAAGTCACTCATCTGTTCAAGGTTTCTACGTAATTAAGTCACTCATCTGTTCAAGGTTTCTACGTAATTAAGTCACTCATCTGTTCAAGGTTTCTACGTAATTAAGTCACTCATCTGTTCAAGGTTTCTACGTAATTAAGTCACTCATCTGTTCAAGGTTTCTACGTAATTAAGTCACTCATCTGTTCAAGGTTTCTACGTAATTAAGTCACTCATCTGTTCAAGGTTTCTACGTAATTAAGTCACTCATCTGTTCAAGGTTTCTACGTAATTAAGTCACTCATCTGTTCAAGGTCTCTACGTAATTAAGTCACTCATCTGTTCAAGGTTTCTACGTAATTAAGTCACTCATCTGTTCAAGTCAAGGTTTCTACGTAATTAAGTTAGTCTTTGTCTGCCTCGGCTTCTTCAGCATTCTGTTCGTCCAGTGAGAGCAAAATGTTCAAGACCTTTATACTTTGTCCACTCAGCATCTTTACTCCACTCGCTTTACTTACCTTTCGTTGGTTGGCGGGTGCTCAGGTGTGGTTTGCTCCTTCTTTCCTATAAAAAATCTATCTTCTCTATCTCCTCTCCTTCTTTTTTGTGTTTGTTACTCTCTTGAAACACTTCTAATCTTCGGCACTTATATGACCTTATTGTGTTGCAAGTGCCGTAAAACTCTTCTTAGTAAAACTAAACTTACCTTTCATTTGACTTGAAACAGGAAATAAGTCTTGACTAGCTCCGCGGAGGCTGTCGTATATTTTCCCATCTTCCCCATCCTGTGTACAGAACAAATCTTCACTGCCCTGGTTGTCGCAAACCTCGCGCTGAGAATTCATGGCCTGGTGAGTCTCTGTCTGTGGGTCGGGTTTTGTGGAGGCCGACTTCAATCTGTAAACAGGAAATATACAGTGTGTGTGACACAGTCGCCGACCTCAGTGTGTAAACAGTGAAATATACAGTGTGTGTGACACAGTCGCCGACCTCAGTGTGTAAACAGTGAAATATACAGTGTGTGTGACACAGTCGCCGACCTCAGTGTGTAAACAGTGAAATATACAGTGTGTGTGACACAGTCGCCGACCTCAGTGTGTAAACAGTGAAATACACAGTGTGTGTGACACAGTCGCCGACCTCAGTGTGTAAACAGTGAAATATACAGTGTGTGTGACACAGTCGCCGACCTCAGTGTGTAAACAGTGAAATATACAGTGTGTGTGACACAGTCGCCGACCTCAGTGTGTAAACAGTGAAATACACAGTGTGTGTGACAGTCGCCGACCTCAGTGTGTAAACAGTGAAATATACAGTGTGTGTGACACAGTCGCCGACCTCAGTGTGTAAACAGTGAAATACACAGTGTGTGTGACACAGTCGCCGACCTCAGTGTGTAAACAGTGAAATACACAGTGTGTGTGACACAGTCGCCGACCTCAGTGTGTAAACAGTGAAATACACAGTGTGTGTGACACAGTCGCCGACCTCAGTGTGTAAACAGTGAAATACACAGTGTGTGTGACACAGTCGCCGACCTCAGTGTGTAAACAGTGAAATACACAGTGTGTGTGACACAACGGACGACCTAGTGTGTTAACAGTGAAATATACAGTGTGTGTGACACAGTCGCCGACCTCAGTTAGTAAACAGGAAATATACAATGTGCGTGATAGACACAGTCGCCGACCTCAGTTAGTAAACAGGAAATATACAATGTGTGTGATAGACACAGTCGCCGACCTCAGTTAGTAAACAGGAAATATACAATGTGCGTGATAGACACAGTCGCCGACCTCAGTTAGTAAACAGGAAATATACAATGTGTGTGATAGACACAGAGGACGACCTCAGTGTGTAAACAGTGAAATATGCAATGTGTGAGACACAGAGGACGACCTCAGTGTGTAAACAGTGAAATATACAATGTGTGTGACACAGTGGTCCACTTCAATCTGTAAACAGTGAAATATACAATGTGTGGGACACAATGGACGACCCCAGTGTGTAAACAGTGAAATATACAATGTGTGTGACACAGTGGTCCACTTCAATCTGTAAACAGTGAAATATACAATGTGTGGGACACAATGGACGACCTAGAGCGTTAACAGTAAAATATACAATGTGTGTGACACAGTCACCGACGTGGGTGGTCGCGGGTGCTCTGGTGGTTCTTTCCTATCAAACATCTATCGTCCTTATCTCCCCTCTCTCTTTTTTATGTTTGTTACTCTGTTGTAACACCTCTAAGCTTCTGGCGTTCATATGACCTTATGCAGTTGCGAGCGCCGTAAAACCTTTACTAAAACAGTCGCCGAACTCAATCAAAAAGCAGTCTGTCTGTTGGGACGCTGTATCCTACTCAGCCCCTGGGGCAGAGTTGAAGCAGCCTGCCTCCTATATGTGTCAAGTTGGGCTAAAAAAAACATACATATTATATTTACTCTCTAAAAGGTCTTTTCTCATTTGTCCGGCACACAAGCTGAACTGGCACACAGCATCACTCGGTTGTTTAGTCATAATAAAAATCTGTGTTTTAACCCTATCCGTACGCCTGGGGTCATTTGGAAACCTAGGGGTTGCATTCTTCACATTTTAGTATGCTTCTAGTGCGAAGATCTCTTTGAAAATTTCAGTATTTCTCAAAAAATCATTTTGACAGACTGCTACGCAAAGGGTACGGATCGGATGAACGAGTAAATTTCTTCTTTGGAAAGTGGTGGCACAGAATTCTCCGTGTCGTATGGATACGATGGTAAAACACGACGTACGGATAGTGTTAAATACAAACAAAGCGCTCATAATGACCTTCTGCAGTTGGGAAGTCCGCAAAACATTTACCAAAACCTACCAAAATACAAACAATATACACATGTAATATGTAAGAGAAAAAAAAGCGGTAGGCCTACATTAAAATCTGTTCACTACATGAATGTGTAATCAAAATCTATGTTTTATTGCACAGACCATTTAACTCTACACAGGAAAAAGAAAGGCACACGCACCTTTGCTTGACCTGTTTGTGCGTGTTGACCACCTGACCCAGCAGCCAGTGTCTCCCCTTCAGCTCCCTCGTCCTGTCACGTAGCTTCCCCTTCTCCGCCGCCGACACGCCCTGTTTCCTGGACAGGTGCACCAGCCTACACTTCTCTTGTTCGTGTCTGCTGTTCAGTTTTCTCAGTCTCCCCTCATAATGGAGTAGCTGGGACGCTTGGGAGAAAGAGACAGAAAAAAAAAGAAAACATTCTAATCATAAAAAGCACACTTTTGCTGTAGAATAAAAATTGTAAGGTGTAGAGTACAAAAAAACTATTATAACTTTCCAAACCATTCCGATTTACGATGGTGACATTATTAATGATAATGTCTGATATTGATATTAAAATGATAATAAAATTGATAATAGCAATAACAACTGAAATGATAATAATAATAAAATTATTGTGAACCATGATCGCTGACGTCGGTCCCAGATCTGGCACTCCATGATGATGATGATGATGACTGATGCAAACTTGAACTAAAATACGTCAGACAAAAAATACAATTTGGAACAGCTTGTCATACATGCACTATACATTAAAAATGAATCTCTTACCAGTACACTGTGGAAAACTCTCTGGCCTTCCTAGATATCCTTCGTACAGTTTGAGAAGACTCCGCAGATACTGGGATTCTTTCATCTGATTTACTGAACATTTCTGAAAAAACAAAAGTATTTTGATTTTGCAATGCTATTTTACACCCAACAAACAAATATACTCGTTCAAGCTCGCAACAAATACAGAATGATAGCACCCCTTAGACCGATATTAGCTTCTCATCAAAATCATTATGGGAGAAACATTCAGGTGGCTGGAGGAAAGATTCCAACAAATATTGGACAATCTGAGGAAATCAAGAACTTGGGCAGCAAAAACAGTTGTTGAAGTGCACGTTTTTAAAATGAAAAAGTCCATGTGTAGGCGTATGTGTCTTTCTCTTAGAGGAGAAACATACTGGTGGCTGGAGGAAAGGTTCCATCAAATATTGGAGAGTCTGAGCAAATCAAGAACTTGGGCTGCAAAAACAGTTGTTGAAGCTCATGTTTTTTTATGAATAGACTTGGGTCCCACAGTACACACGTGAACAATGAGTTTCTGACCTTGCATAATTAGACAGCAGTTATAGGATAGTATCCCTACTCAACAGGGATCCTGGCATTGTCTACTTGGGAGAAAAGACCTACTACAAAAATTTTTCCCAACACCATTTAGCAACAAGTTTGAAGTAGCAAAAGAAAAGATTATTTTGGTAGAAAATACAGATCTTATATATATAGAAGTATCCAAACCCGTTTTCAACCAAGAAACACAGTGTCTTTGTCCATGTGGAGGCGTATGCGTGTTTCTCTTCCCTCCTCCCCCCTCCCCCCACACACACTGAGTATACCTGGTCTGTAGATGTGTGTTTGTCTTTTATTGTCTTTTAATCCCCCGCCCTCTCTAGGTGTATGTCTTTTTTTGGTCTAATTACTTTCTCTCCCATACCCCCCGTAGGCTAATTTTTTATTATTTTTATATACATTTTTTTTTTTACAAATGTATCTTTTTTAATTAAGATTTAAAAGTTATTTTAAAAAAAATAAAAATATATATATATTTAGTAATAAGTGCTTTACGGCGCTCGCACACACATAAGGTGATATGATCATTTACAGTCTGGTTGGAATTAATTTTGAATTTTGCCCGGGTGGCTGCCGAAGCCTACTCTTATCGATTTTAGGACCACCAAGGGATCTTTAACATGCTCAACTTGCTTATCCAAGAAGGCTAGGTGAGTGTTAGATCTTACATACCCTAAGATCATGGGTGTGGCGGAAAGACAGCAGTAAGAAGGAGCCAAGAAGTAGCAGTAGAAAGGCAGCATAAAGAATCAGGAGCCCAAAGGAAGGGGGAAGAAAATGCAGACGACAAAATATGGTTAGAGAGCAGGGAAGGAGGTGAAGGGTGAACATTTTTATTCAGAGAAGAAAATTTTCCGATCTATTGAATGAGAGGCGAACACCGTACCTCTAGACCACGAGACCCCCTGTATATATACATGTGTGTGTTTTTGTTTTCTGTTCCTGCCCCAACATTCACTGTTTGTATAGGTGTGTGTTTGTTTCTCTTCAACCCGCCAACACAGCATCCATTTCCCCATATATATATTCCCAAATGAGAGAAGTTTACAGGCTTTTAAAACACATTTGTATATGGAAATCACAAAGCCAGGAAAACAAAAATATTTAGGAGAGAGAAAAAAATTGCTTATTTTTTTCACACAATATGAATCTTTTCTTGTATTTTTCAAAATTCTGTTTATGAATTTCCTCAAAATATTTCTTCAACATATGTAACTGATACCACATATTAGAACCTTCAATTTTAAAAAATAATAATAAGTTCAGGAAACGTAGCTCCGCAATAACTAATCCTAAAATCTTTTTAAATGGTTGCTTCCCTTTGAAGAGTTCATACTGCTAATAAAATCGTGCTCGCGGCCGTGACGTCACTATTGTCTCCACACCAGAGCACCCGCCAACCACCCACTTATATAGACCGCGTGAATTGGGGGCAAACTATACATGATATTGTAATGTTTTTTCCTTTTGTCTGAGGATTAATCCCCTCCGTCACTGTAGCTGAAGAATTTTCTTTCACCCAACATGACCTTTCACCTCTACCCCTCAGCACTCCTTGTTTTCCCAATTCCTTTTTGTCTAGATCTGTCGGTTGTCGATCTGTAATCCTGTCCTTAATTACCTCTTTAAAAAATAGAAGCCTGTCTAACGCAGAAACGAAAAGAGAAATCGCTTCCCTTGGACTTGGACGGTTTTTAAAACCTGTCTTAGATGAGACGGGAAATGCTTTGCCCACTCGGCCCTGATTTGAAACAGAACTGTCAAATTTGGTTCTATCGGCTCTTATCTTATCTTTACGCCAGGCTGCCAGGCAAGGAAGGAGTGGGGCTTGGGGTTTAGATGTTAACACAGTAAGACAGCATATTACATGAAGATGTTATCCCATCCAAGTGAGCCCTGAGCGGTGCGATGGTTGGGTGGTGTGGGTATGGAATCGCATTGGTGATTATGAATTATTGAAAGAGCAAGGAAACTTTCCTGGGAAGCCAGAAGTCAGAGGTGTGAAATTAGTTAGACAAATGCCTGCCGCCCTTATCGTACGGTCAACCGAGCAAAAAGTTCCCCGAATCGTTGTTTCTTGCACGGGATGGCTGACATTGGTTGACTGTGCTTATTACATGGATGGGTGGGGCTTAGGGTGGAAGCAATGGAGATGTTTTTAGTTTCTGCTTTTAATAGGTCAAACTGTGGTCCTATGAAATGTAAGCACTGGTGGCAATGTATAAGTACGACTGACGCATGCCATCATCAGAGAGGCTAAGATTGCACTTGAGAGGTGTGAAGTTCTGACAACTCAGACCGGACAAGCGGCCCTTGATCCCAATAGCTGGGCCTCTGAAACCCTTCTAACCCTCCCCCTAAATTCCCCCAAGATGAAAAATATTTAAGACGCCATTTTTTTCTGGCTCCCTTCAGATTCTGTCTTACACAGGACTGTATGATCTTTCAACCTGCTATAAAAGCCAGCGGTTTATACCATACAACTAGTGTCCAAAATCTAACTCTGCAAATTATGTGTTGAATAAGATTAGAGAAAAAAGAAAAGAAAAATTGAAGGAAAGCTGCACAAACCTTATCGTCAACAGCAGAGGTCAAGCTCGTCTTTGTCCTTTCATCTGGTGGCACTGTGGAACCCTCTGTGTACAAACTGTCCTTGTTTGGCCACACAGAGGTCTGATGTGGACCTCGACTTCCACGACCGCTGTCCCCGAGCCCACAGTCATGGGAAAAAGGTTTGTGTGGCCATGGTGGCCCGTCTGCAGCACCACTCGATGGTTCACAGACTAAGGAATATTTATCACCAGTTGTTACATTCTCTCTGGCTGTCTGCTCACAGAACGATCTCGGCTTCTTCTTATGGTGGAGTGGTACCAACAATAGAGGAGACGCTTGCTCTTCCTGCGACGTTTGAGGCGAGACTGCCAGTTGTTGAGGACTTTGCTTAGCTTTCAACCAAGAACCTTGAACTTTAAGATCCTGCTTCCGAGCGCTTGAATTTACCGTTTCTTTATCTATCGTCCCTACATCATGGTGCTGTAGGAGGATTTTATCTCGTGGCTCTTGGGAACCAGCTGGTGATGTAGCTGGATGCTGTGTGTCATACTCCAGACATATAGAGTCAGCTTGTTCCACCCCCACCCGAGTAGACGGAACTGAGGAATCGTGTACCACAGACAAATTGGATATGTTGCTCTGTAGACCCCTTCCACAATCTGACGGGCGACTAACCTCCATCTGGTCCTTCAAGGACAAAGTGCCAATATCGGTACCGTCAATGTCATCAGTTAGGTTGGTAATTGAGAGACCAAGATGATCAAAACTTTTCCGTCTGTTAGGAATAACATCACGACCGTCAGCAACAGTCCCCTTGAAACTCTCTGAGCAGACTGTGTGAGAATCTGGATGCCCCCCAGTCTGTGTGTGTGACGTGGGAACAGTCTGAGGGGACGATGACTCTTGGACAAACTTGGAGCAACCTTCTTCCAGGTGGAAAGATTCACTCGCTGAGGACCGGAACACTTGCACACTTGTGTTCACATTTTCTATTTTGGGTTGATCTAGCACACTGCAGTCAAGTGGAACCTAAAAAGAGACCAAAAAAAACCCCAACCTTATGAATACATTCATCTGTGTTTCAAAGAATACTCAACTACACAGGAAGAAAAACATATATACATATATAATGATGGTACACTGACAGTTGTTTGTAAATTAGCCCACACCCCAAACCTTTTCCAAACCCACAGATTTTGATGGTCATGTACAACTGTACTGAAAATTCTGAAAATTCTCATTATGTCTGGGACTGTGAACATATCTAAATCATAGGGGCCTGTTATATTTTTAACCAGGTAAAAGTAAGGATGTGCATTAACGACAACACAGGAATTAAACTAAAATCAATTCGCAGCCGTTTACCTGAAGATCTTTTTCCTTTATCACAGAGTTGAGTTCAGCTTTAGCAACAAACAAAAATTGCAGGCAGTCAATAAAAATGCATAAATGCATACAGTCATACAGGCCTACCAAAAACCCAACACTTCTGCTTAGTATTAGTATTGAATTACAATCAGTAGCAAAGCACTAGCCTCATTCATTTTTCAGTAAAGTTAAAGTAAAGTTGTTCCCGCATCCGATCCAGACATTGGGGATTGCCTTGTTAGTGAGACAACATCCTGGGCCTTCGGCATACAGTAGTAGGGTGGCCAGTTCCTTTCCACGCCTCCTTTACTTCCCCAACTTGAAGTCAGGTACCCATTACTGCTGGTGGGCAGGAGGGAGCAACAAAAAAAACGTGTCCAAACCGAGGCTCAAACCCGGACTTTCCGCTTCGGAGACGAGCGCACTAACCGCTCCGCCACTGCACCCTCTCAGTAGAAAGAAAAAAATTCAGTACCGGTATTTTAGTATGGTTTGTACCTCATTCAAATTCCCACTGTCTTTTGTAAAGTT